TCGAGCCTACAGAATAAATTAATATTTTATGGACTAAATTTATAATTTAGTAATATTTAGAGTTGAACTTAAATAACGTTTTATAAAATTAGATAAATTTCTAGATGAAACAGGCTTTTTTTTTTTCTGGGCCCAACTGAAAAAGACCGACGGCCCACTAACAGAAAACTCTCCGATCGGCAGAAGCTCCCAGGGAACTTCTCTTTTCTGCAACGAGTTCGTTTCCTGAAGCCGAAGGGGAAACGATGGAATCAAGAAGGCGATCGAAGACGAGGATCGCCATAGTCCACCCAGATCTTGGTATAGGTAAGAGCATACGTTTTATCAACTGATTCAATTGCTGAATTTCGATCAACACCTCTTTTTCATGTTCTGTTGTTTAGTTGTTCGTATTTGATCGAATTGATTGATTTGAATTTTGATTTATCGAAGATGATAAAGTATTTAATAGCGTGTGAGCGCATTAGGTAGTGTTATGGATTTGGACGTTTAGAGAACCGAGGGATTGCACTGGCACATTTTGTGAATTTGATTCTTATTTATGTTGATTGGGGCTGTTTCTCTTTTCTTCTAGGAAGTATGGAATGCTGGCTCATCATTTTGAATTGCTGATGTGTGTTTATGTGTTTGATTTCCATCCATGAAACTGACTCACATCCGTTGAATCGTTGTGCCTTTTTATTTTTTATTTCTCTTCAAGTGGTATCTTTCTTACTCTGTTAAGATTACATTGTAAAAATTGAATTGGATTTAGTCCGACAACACAAGTTACTTTTTTTAGCTTATTATTTTTTTCTCCATTTCTTCTGATTGGCTAACACGTTAATCTTCGAGTTACAGGTTGAGAATACATTGAAAAAATATAATTTAACTTAGCTCAAAAACATAAGATTTTGATCCAAGTGGTGAGTTAACATACATTTCATCAAAGGGAAGCTATAATCAGTCACCTTTCTTTAGTTGTCTTTTTCCCGTCTGTTTCTATAGTCTAACAGGTGAAAGTAATGAAGTAAGGTTTCAAAACATCATCCAGAAAACAGAACAAAATCAAGGATGGATTTCTATAATATTGGGGCTGCAATTTGGGGAATAAAGCTGATAACCAGCAAGGAACGATAGAGTTTTTTTTTTTTTTTTTTTTTTTTTTTTTTTTTTTTTTTTTTTTTTTTTTTTTTTTTTTTTTTTTTTTTTTTTTTTTTTTTTTTTTTTTACTTTTATCATTTAAAGCAGATGATATGTAAAATTAGAGTCGATCAACAAAGAAAAAATTTCTCCATTCTATGTTTCATGTACTTCTAACTTTGAATCTTCAAAGGTTACTGTCATAAATAGCTATTAACAGAGTATGGTGCATACAGGTGGAGCTGAGAGGTTGATTGTAGACGCTGCTGTTGAACTTGCTTCTCATGGACATGATGTCCATATTTTTACATCACACCACGACAAAAATCGGTGCTTTGAGGAGACCCTTTCTGGTGTGCTTCACTGCTTTTATCTTCAATGGATCTGATATTGGAAATAATATATCTTTCTACTGATGAAAAGAATTTTATGCAATTCAAAAAATGGAAATTAGAAAGAACTTATTCTAATATTTTTGAACTTAAGAAGTCTTAGTCTCAATTTGAACGGGGCAGAATGAGGCATTTGTGTAGGATGAGGCTGTGATAATGGAATAATATATCTATAGATCGACTCTTGTACTATGCCAAGGAGACACGTCTATTCTGAGAAATTTCAACCTCCCCGTTTTTCTTCTGTGATTGATTCTCGTAGTTTTCTTCAAATTTCTGCAATGGTATTAGTATCACAACATATCATTCAAATGCATTCATTTTTAATTTCTTCCAGGCACTTTTCCAGTTACTGTGTATGGTGATTTCCTACCTCGCCATATCTTTTACCGCCTCCATGCAGTATGTGCATATCTACGGTGTATTTTTGTCACTCTCTGCATGCTGTTTATGTGGCCATCATTTGATATCATACTAGCAGATCAGGTTTCTGTTGTTGTTCCGCTACTTAAACTGAAAAGGTCATCAAAGGTATGAATCTTTTCCTAATGTTGTTCAGATGTCACTTTATCATGGTCGACTAAAGAAGCTGTGTGCTTATCCAGGTTGTATTTTATTGTCATTTTCCGGATCTGTTACTGGCTAAGCACACAACCTTGTTGAGGAGGCTGTATAGAAAACCCATAGACTTAATTGAAGAAATGACGACTGGTTTGGTTTCTGACAATTCATTCTACTTCTTTCAATTCTTATGTTGATTTGATATTACATTCATATACTCTTCAATATTTACATTTATCACTTAACGTAATCACAGGAATGGCAGATTTGATACTGGTCAATAGCAAATTTACTGCATCCACTTTTGCCAATACATTCAAACATCTCAATGCACGAGGAATTCGACCTGCTGTTCTTTATCCAGCGGTCAATATAGATCAGTTTGATGAGCCTCATACTCCGAAGTAACGGACATGTTTGTATATTCTTGTTCCTATGAGTTGATAAACTTTATATTGTGATTTGCAATATGTGCTTTTTCTAGAAAAATACTGTTATTGTTTTTTATTTTTATTGTATCTCTCTGTTATATTCATTCAATTTTTATAAATTCATTCATATCAGGTTGAGTTTTCTTTCCATCAACCGTTTTGAAAGGAAGAAAAACATTGAATTAGCTATTTCAGCCTTTGCTAGACTTGGCACACCTGAAGGAGGCGGCATTCTTCAAGATTACAATGTAGCTGATGTTTCCTTGGTCATTGCTGGCAAGTCTCAACTTTTTTTCCCTAGTACTAGCATGCATTGTGGGGGTGAAACAAATACCTGTTGTTTTGTTGATAAGTGGTGCATGGTGGATCATTCTTGGATCATAAGTATTGGCAGTAGTGTTGTCTCCTATCAAGAATGGGGTGTGAATCATTATTGAAAAGTTATTAATCTTTGGCTTTAGCATTGTCTTCTATCAAATAAGAACGGGGCGTGGACTGGTGTTGAAAAGGATGCTTTAAATTTTAATGTTCTACTGAAGTACTTTGCCATTGCAACTTGAGTGATTGCGTGCATTTGTTTGGAAAATGTTTCATTTGTGAAAACCCTTAGTTATGCATTCATTTTGATTACTGGAATAGAAAATGATGGGATCTACTTGGAGATTTTACCAGTTAGTTTAATACTTCAGCTCTTCTAAACATCAACCCTCAAGTGTAGAACGTCTGTTTAATACGCTCGGACGCTTTACTCTCGATCTTGGTGCTGCTTCATATTAATAATTGACTCAATGAGTTCAAGCTTGATGCAGTCTAAATTACACTATCATATTATTCGATGATTCTATTTTCTGGAGATTTTTTGCAGATTACTTTTGTAATTGTACAACTTTTTTAAGCATTTTTTTTCAAATTGTATTGCAGGAGGCTTCGATAAACGGCTAAGAGAGAACGTTGAATACTTGGAGGAGCTTAAGAATTTAGCTGAAAGAGAAGGTGTATCTGAGCGTGTTACCTTCATCACATCCTGCTCAACACTCGAAAGAAACGCCCTCCTTTCCCAATGCCTCTGTGTCCTCTACACGCCGAAGGTTTGTGCATCTCCCATTACACGTCCTAACGAAATCCTATCCTTTGTTCTTACAACAATATGAATTAATGCAGGATGAACACTTCGGCATTGTTCCTTTGGAAGCCATGGCAGCTTACAAGCCTGTTATCGCATGCAACAGTGGGGGTCCAGTTGAAACTATAAAACACGGTGTGACAGGATTTCTCTGTTCGCCTAATCCTCAAGAGTTCGCTCTGGCAATGGCGAAACTCATCCAGGATCCTGGGATGGCAGCAAGAATGGGGAGGGAAGCCCGACAACACACCGTCGAATCTTTCTCTACAAAGATATTTGGCCAGCAACTGAACCAATACCTTGTCGATAGCGCTCAACTCAAGAGAGACTGAAACTGCGGATCGGGTTAGTACCAAGTCGATTCACCCCTAGGTAATGCACAAACCTTTGAACCCTAACCTATGGATCATAAATTGGTAGAGTCAGACAGCATTTACAGATTTTACAGCTTTGTTCTATGTATATTTATTGTGCACTGTTGGGTCTCAGTAGAAGAAGATGTGAATTAGCATCATTTGAGCATGATTTCCTTGGGTTAAGAACTCATTTAGCGATGTCACAGTAGTTTCCTAGAACTGGAAGATAAATCTTGAGAATTTTGGTTGAGATTTTTAAACGTTTCAGTGGAACATTTTTTACTTACAGGAAAGAATTTCCTTAGCAGTTTATGTTTAGGAATTGAACTCGTTTCATTATTTCTTTTTCCCATTATCATATTGCTCTTAAATTCTTCATCAATGTTTTGCTTGAAAAATGTTCTTCAGTGAATGAAATGTTCAAAATTATTCTATTCTATTATGTTACTTAATGTCAAAGATGTTCAACTTAACATTGAAATATTTAAAATTCTATCATTATTTGAAGATCGAAGAATGAAATTATATCTTTTTGAAGATGGAAGTTAAATTAAATAATTTCTAAGAATTTCAAACATTAAAAGCTCTTAAAAGTTAAGAAAAATAAGATATTAGATTACAATTTTTTTAGAAGATTTTTTCTTTTGTTGCTTTCAACAAGTTCAGTATGTTGAGCTTAAAAATAATTATTGTTAATTAAAAACCAATAAAAATATTTATTTAAATTTAAAAATAAAAATTCCATTATTCTTGTGTGTTCATTTTTCTTTCAATCAAAATATAAAATCACATTGTTTAATTTAAAAATTAAAAAAGGTACAATTGAATATTTTATTAATTACCCAACTCAAAACAGTAAAAATCAAAATTTATAAATATAATTCAAGCATTTATAAAAAAGAAAAAAAAAGACGGTTCGGTAATTACGGTGTTTGGGCCGGGTATGGGTATCTTGTTGGATCCGGCCAATTTCGAGCCCTAGAGAAAGTGGAATTCCTTCTTGAAGAGCAAGCAAAGGCAGCAACTAAAGTGACCAATTTCCATTTCCATTTCAGCGGAGAGATTCAGAGAAAGAAACCGAAGGAGACGAAGATCGCCATGGATCCGAAGCTAACTGAGGTCTCGCAGAACTTCGAGCGCTTCAAAGCTGCTCTTGTCAGGCACGATTATGATTCTTGTAACAATCTCCTCTGTCAGCTCAAGGTATCGATCTGATTCTAGAACCCTAATGTTTCTTCCAATTACTCATCTGTTCACTGCAGTTTCAGCGTGTTTTCTTTTATTCTTGAGGAGATTGGTTTTTAATGATGCTGTTCAAGTTTCTTTAATCTTTTTTTGTTTTTCTTTTTGCAGGTTTTTTTGACTGGATTCAGAAGTCTTCCGCCATTGTTTGAAAATACGCTCAATGCTGTCCATGAACTGACGGTGGCTAGTAAGAATGTCTCGCCATACTATATTTCATAGTTTCGCAACTCTTATTTGCTGGACTATATTTTTTCCATATGAATAATTTGCTGTCGCTTGGATCTTGCAATACTCAACTGAAGAGAAGATTATAATATGGTTTATGTATCTTCATAGTAATAGATAGAACTTATATTTTTGTGGGACTTGGTATATTCACTTTTGTGATTAGTGCTGTTAAGATACCACCCGAACTAGAAGCTTAAGCCATGAGATTGAGTGAATTTGACTTCTTTATTCTACAATGGTAAGATTATGATGAGGCTTTGAAAGCATTTCCCATCTTAGAAATTAGATGACCAATACCATAGTTGATGCAAATTTGGATAAGATTTGAATGAGCTTTTGAAGTAATTTTACTCAGAAGTACAAAATATGACACACGAATGTCATAAGTTGATAAACTATCTAATAGAAGTTGGAGAAAGACGGAATCTACTTGGACATGAATAAATAATATACTTTCTGGATCTTTGAATATTCTGATGTTGAGTTTTCCATACAAAAAAGTTTATTATCTATAGGGGACTTGGGTTCTTTTTCCTTTCCTGCAGAGTCGTTTTCTAAATTTAGTTCTTATACGATTTTTGTGTTTATTTGGTGTCTTCAGGGGATATATATGAGCACGCTGTGTTGCTTAGTGTGAAGATTGAGGATCAAGAGGCATTTGAAAGAGATTTCTTCCAATTGAAGCCTTACTACACTGATGCTCGGTGTGTTTCTCTTTCTTAATTAAAGTGAAATTTGATTTCATAAATCCTGTCCAAAATGATTAAATTGCTTTATTATTATGATATATTACTTGTTTATCTCAGACGGGGAAGAAAATATAAAAATGTTTAGTTTTTACCTTTTTCAGTTGGTGCCTTTGGTTTGTTTTTCTTCCTGAGATTCTTGGAAAAGTTATGCTAATTGCCAAGATTTAAATGATTTATACTCCTTTGCGAGCCTGGGGAATGGTGTAGTGAGATAAAGAGAAGAAAAGTATAGATATAAGTGGAGTTCTATTGAGCAACTTGATTCTTTGTTAATTTGAAGTGAAATTTCATCGAAGACTAATAAAGCTACGTATGGATATTATTTGCAAATATAATTTTCTTAGTTGGTCACTATTAGGTAGTTTACATCATACTATTATCTTCCTTCTTTCATGTAAATGAGTTAATCTAATTAAACTGAACTGCTTTGGCGAGAAAATCATCTGACAATGAACTGCAGCAGAGTAACAAATGGGTCCTAACTTATCAGGAAAGCATATTCTGAGTTCTCTTGAGGTTCAAAACTGATGTATCTGATTTTAGCCTGAGCTTCCTGTGTTTTAATCTAGCATTTTACGAGATTGCCCCATTGAGATTAACTTGATGTTATCTTGTGTTTTAACTTCTGGGTACGATTTTTTCTCATGAGAATTTTTTTTTTTTGGATCAGTAACCTCCTTCCACCATCCCCTCAGGAGTATCCAATCTTGGGTCTCAACCTTCTGAGGCTTCTTGTGCAGAATAGAATTGCAGAATTCCATACTGAACTTGAACTTCTTTCCACCTCTGCTTTGGAGAGCCCATGCATTAAACATGCTGTGGAGCTGGAACAATCTTTCATGGAAGGTGCTTACAACCGTGTGTTGAGTGCTCGACAGACTGTGCCACACGAAACTTTTGGTTATTTCATGGACCTCCTTGCAAAGACTGTAAGGTAACTCATCTAAATAAGGTCTCTAACTAATATAATGATAGATGATAAATCCCACGTCCTTCCAAGTGTTTGCCAAATTCTCTCTCTCGGGGTCGCTGCAAGTAGCTATTCCATTTCATTCTTAATTTTTTTTTTTGAGACAACATACATTTCATTCATAATTTATGTCTTTCCTGTCACTTCCAGAGATGAAATAGCTGGTTGCAGTGAGAAGGCATATGATTATCTTTCTATAAGCGATGCACGCCAAATGCTGCTGTTTTCCTCTGACAAAGACCTTTTGGAATATGTCAAGGAGGTAAGCTCTGTTTGATGCATTTAATCCTCGATAATCTGCATTCTCACTAGCAAGTTTTAGATAGATGAAAGTTGTCTTTTCGATGAATACTTCTCTCGACTAACTAAGAGAGTTTCCACGAACTATTTCATGTCTTATTATTCACATGTTTTCACAATGCACCTGTTGATTACGATCTGTTGTTTCGATGCAGGAGCATCCCGAGTGGGAGATAACGAATGGCGTTGTATATTTCCAGAAGGCGAAAGAATCTGCACCTTGCAAGGAAATACCTTCTCTTCAACTCATCAACCAAACGCTCAGTTACGCCAGGGAGTTGGAGCGGATTGTATGAACGAACCAAGCTAGCAGCTTTTCACCATTGCTATCTGCTGCTTTTCAACATGCCAAGGTTGATAGTTATCCCTCACCCTCTTATGATCTTTATGGGATTTTTCCATACAAAATTGTTATTTCTAGTGACATTGAGTCCGGATTTTTGTCAATGTATCTTGGTATTTACATTCTTGTGAGATGATCGTCGTTGCATTTGCTATCTTCTAAGTGTTTGTTTACAATTACATTTTGTTGCGGTATGGTAAGATCGAATGACTTGGAAGTCGTTATTGTTTGATTACTGCTATAGTGTGGGATGTAGATTAAGAAAAGGTTTCGAACACTTGAAATGCGCGCACACAACTTTTTTCTGTTACCCATAGTTTTATCCAATTCAAATATAAACCAAATGAATTTATGTCACAGTTTTGCAACTTTATAACTACCACTACTATATTTAAATAAGCTATTTATTAAAATAATGTTATTAAAAAAGGAGCTATTTATTAAAACCATATGGACGGAGGAATTAAATATAAATGAAGTGCAATTTGTTAATTGGGGGTCGTGGCGGAGGGAGCGGCGGCGGCGGCGCGCCGAGTTGTGTGGAGTAAGGGCGGCCCCCATGACTCCGGAAGCTTCACAAGGTGTGTCAAATCCGTACAAGTTGTGCCCTTCATTGTCAGCCTCGAATATTTCAAAATCCCTTTTGGCTTACAACTTTATTTATTTATTTTGGAATTTTAATCTTTTCTATGCTTTTTACCATTTTGTGCCATTAAAAAACCCAAATTGCTATGGTCCCCTTTTCTAATATTATTTGTTTTTCTCCGGTTCTAATTGAAAAGATTGTATCACACATCTTTATAGTAAAAATGTGAATATCTAGAACGAGTTCGAGATATTTTTAGAAAAACAATTAGAAAATACAAAACAGTTTTCTGGATTATTGTATATAAAAATTTCGATAAAAAATTTCTAGCTCCACCTCCATTGTCTCATCAAGTTTATACAACATCGAAAAACTAAACCTACATAAGTTATCAAACAATGACCAAGAAACTCACCTAATAGAATCGAGCCATTTCTCCCGACACCATATGAGATAGAGATTTAAACACCTAAATTAATATTACTTGATGTGTTAAGTATTCATTAGACTCAATTTATTCTAAATTTAAGCTGACCATAAATTTTACTATTTTTAATTATAATTTTTTATAAGCTTGTATTTTGAAATGGTCAATTAATTATTATTAATGTTGTGTTTATCACCAACACTTTGGAAAACGATGCTAGGTTGACAAGATTATGTAAACAATTTTTTAAGAAATACCATTAAATATTTATTGGCGTATTAATTTCTATATTAATATATTATGCCTTTTTCCATCAAAATTTCTTACTCTTTTTTAAAATACATTTGACAATATTTTACTAATTAATAAAATAAAAATATTGGCTTTTCTATTCCATCTGGAATGGTTACTTCCTCTATGTTTGACCTTTTTAAAAAATGTCAACTACATAACTTTCTAAAAATTCCAAAGATTATTTAAAATAATTATTAGAAAATTGAATAATAAGTAATTTTTGTTATTAATATGAAAATTAAATTAAACCCTTTTTAATTATTAAGTTACGATCTTTTGAAAAAAAAAAATGTATAACTGTTACCATAAAATATCAAAAAAAATATTTTTATATTCCTTACAAAGTTTCTAAATATTTCTTTAATATTATAATCAAATTCTAAAAAATTATTTACCATTAAAAATTAGAATTTAGTCCTTATAGTTTTATAAAATTATCATAAATAGTCTATTTACACGATGATTTTATCAAATCATAAATAAAAAAATCTAAATTTTAAATTTACAGAGTCCAAATTTTAATTTTTTCAAAAGTACGGACCAAATTTATATTTAAGTAGTTTGAAATAGAATCCATCCTCAAAGATTCTTTGCCATAATATTGGAATATTCCTTGTTCAAATCTTCTCCATATATATTGGATTCGAGAAAAAGTCATAAACTTTAATCAATGTCAAATCATACATCAAAATATTTGCTTAATGTTTATTATCATTTTTTAATTTATTTTCAAATTATTCCATTTGAAAATTTCCCATCGTTACAGTCACACCTCCAAATCAAATTATTCTCTACATCATTTAATAAATAATATAATTCATTAAGAATAATAAGAATTTACATCTCTACCCTTCAACAACAAGATATCATTCCTTTATTCAATTTTCATTTATATTTTATTATTTGTTCGAAAAAGAAATAAAATTAGCTAAATTATTAAGTAAAATGAAAAAAATAAATAAATTAAAAGACATAATTTTATCAAATATTTATTTATTTATTTTTATATATAAATATTTCAGTGTTTCAGGGACCAAAGTGTAAATTTTATAATGTTCGAGGACCGAACATAATTAATATTGTTCTTGAGGATAGGGATGAAGACCCTAAAAACAATGGACAGCCACAGATTCTTGGAGCTTTCCAATAAAACAGGAAATTAAAAAAAAGTCAAGAGAAAAATTATATATAAATAAAATGATGGGAACATGAAAAGTACCCTTCAACTTGAGGAGACAAGTAGCTTATTTCTTAAATCAAACAAAATTAAAAATAAATATGTTTGAAAAACTTCCATTCGGTTTCTTTTGTGAATAATGATTATGTCTTAATGTTCGGGATTCAGAATTCGGCATCTGGTGACTCCTGTATTTCTCTACATCCTCTATAATATGGTCATGTTCTTTACTCCTCGCTGCTAAAGTGAAAACTATTTTCACGGACTAACCCGAGTCATTCCAGCATATTTTGTACTCAATTACATGGATGTCACACTAATCTCTAAAGACTCAATTTGTCCAGCAAAAATCAATTTTTCTGTAAGTATATAGATACAGTGATAACAAGACAGAGATTTATAGGCACCTTCTTCATGATCCGTGATCCAAATTCAATATCAACACTCATTATTATTATAGTAATTCAATAATTAATTATGCGAATGTCACTAACAAATAAATTAAACATTTCCCATTATTCAAAAAGTAAAGTATATTAATTAATTTATTTTGAAAAAAAAAATAATGGGGTAGGCAGCTTTGTTATTTGATAATTAAACATTTTTGTCTTCTCATTAAGAGAAAATTAAAAAATATTAATTAAAAATATTGGCAATGTACAATGGGGGGAGCGCCCCAATCCAACTTGCTTCAATTAGACTTTGAATTAAAAGTCAATTAACAAATAATTATATTCTATAATCTCAAACTAATCTTTATTGTTAATGCTAACAACTTTTCCAAAAAAATTAAAAAATAATTATATTTTTTCATTAAAAAATAATATAAACCAACTAATTATTGTTGTTTTTGCCTTGTCTTTTTCCTATATATAATTGCAAATAATAAAATAAAAAAAATAAAAAAATAGTAAAATTTATATAATGCTGTATGACATTGGATTTACACATTGTACCATTATATTTTTTAAATTAGACCACTTCACTAACCCACATGCTTAATTATTGCAATTATCCATTTTTTGTTTATTTAATGGGAGTACAAAATTTATTTTTTTAATTAATTATAATCACAACCTATTGAATTTTTGTTGACCTAGATTATAATAACTAAACAAAAACCCACCTCATTTTTAGAATTATTGGTGGCTAATAAATTTATATAAATCCAGTTGAGAGATAGTACAAGTTTATCGCTAGTAGATATCATTTATTTTTTGCTATTATGTATCGTCGTCAGCTTCATAGTTTTAAAACGCGTTAGAGAAAGGTTTCACACTCTTATAAAAAAGGGTCCCTTCCAAACCCACCACTAGTAGTAGATATTGTCTGCTTTAGCCAATTTCATATAGTAGTTAGTCTTGTAGTTTTAAAATGCTATTAGGGAGAGTTTTTTGCCCCTTATAGTAAATGTTTCGTTTTTCCCTCCAACCAACGGTTGCCAACTAAACACGAGAGTTGTGCTCGTTGTAGGACTTAACCCAACACCTTACGCCACGAGCTGATGACAACCATGCACCATTTGTGTCCGTGTTCCTTAAGGCACCCCTCTCTTTCAAGAGGATTCGCCACATGTCAAGCCTTAGTAAGGTTCTTCGCTTTGCATCGAATTAAACCACATGCTCTACTGCTTGTGCGGGCCCCTGTCAATTCCTTTGAGTTTCATTCTTGCGAACGTACTCTTCAGGTGGATCCATTTGTTTCGTTCCCGAGGAAGTGCATATTTTACCTGAATCTTCTTCCATAATGGTACGTAACAATAGTATCATTGGAGTAGCTACACGACTAACTTTAAGTATAAGAGTTACTTCGGCTCGACGCTTTCGTTCCCTCGAATCAAAATTCAATCAAGTAAGCCTTACTTAAAACTTCAAAGATGAATTATTTTATTTATTTACTTTATAGGAATCAAAGTAAAAATTCAAAGAATGGATTTTTCTCTCACGTACGAGCTTTTCCTTATCAATTATTTAATCATCCAACTATCATTTATAAGTTTTTGTATCATTAATTATTTGACTATTATGAAATGACTAGCAAGCTTTTCAATGAAGTGAATTTTTTTTCTTGATTAGATTTTGATATCAATATCACTGTTTATCAATCGTCCATTCCATTCGTTCATTCGTTCATTCGAATACGAAGAACGGATAATCCGTTCACTAAAACGCTATAAAATTCAAAGCATAAAGGGTGTTTTGAGTTTCAAAAGTCTCTTTCTCAAGTAGGCACATGGAATCATGGCTATGAATGGTACTCACTTTCGACTATGGTGACGTACAAAGCCTTCATTAGTTGTTGAAGGATGAAATTAGCAATAAAATTTGGAAGATATATATAATTAAAATGAAGGGTACTTTTTGCTTTTTGCTTTTTGATTCTTGTAATCACACTATTATATAGATTTCTCCATTTTTCACTAAAAAAGCTCTGAATTTGTTGAGACAAAAAGTATGGGAAGTAGAGTAGCGATTGTGGTGGTGGGTTGCAACACGGAATCAAATCTGTTTATTTTATCCAAAAACTCTCATATAATCCAACTTCAACTACTCGTTTTTGGATTCCATGGAATCACACTCCCAAAACAATCCCTACCTCTCCCTCTCCTCTTCCCTTCTTCTTCTTCTTATTCTTCTTCATCGTTTTCCTCTCAAACTAGTTTCAGATCCTTAGAACCCTAAGATTTGGAGCTGTAAATCCGTTATCTCCTCGCCATGACCGAGCCCAAGCCCGATTCCGATCACCTATCTC